CCTCGCGTCATGCTATATAAAAATTGCAGCACTGTCAAAAAATTTTCGAGGCTGGTTTCCATATAGATATTTTCTGCGTGGTTAAGTGTTTTCACTGTTTTGTTTCCTGAGTTATGTTATCTGATAATTAGGAAGTGCGAAAAGGGTTATTCATAATAATATTAATAAATGTTCTCTGATCGTAAAACATTTATGTAATATTTTATGATGTGGCCGGAGCCGGAGCTCAGAGTTATAATTCGGCCGGAGCCGGATATGGAACCGGAGTTTGCACAGCACTATCAGAAAGTGACTAGCTTAAGGAATTTAACATTTTAACTTGTTTATATGTATATTAAATGCACGTATTAGAAGTATTAGATTACTGCACCATAGTAGTTGGCTTAATGGAGTATTTGATTGAATGTGACTCTGACTAGCTAGATGTAACATCAATCTGAACCAATTTTATGACTCTGGAGGTACATTTTTCTCGAGAAAAATTGCACATCGTTTTTTCTCAACTAATTCGCACACTGTTATATAGAGTTTTTGGCCACTGAGAAAAATCGTATTTAAACACACGTAAAAATACGATATTTTTACGTTTGAAAATATCATTTGTTGTAAAACCCATTGCCACGGACGTTTTATTGTTTTTCACTGAATTTTGTTTATATAATAAACAGAAAAATACATGGGTGCTTGGAAATACCAGATTTATTTCTCGTGTTGAACATGATATCTCACTCGTTTGCTGCGCTCATGCACTCGTGAGATATCATGTTCAACGCTCAAAATAAATCTGGTATTTCCGCGCACCCATGTATTATTCTCTATATCGCGTCAAAAACAGCAAAAAAAACCCAAAGTTGCGTGAAACAAATCAAATATCAAAAGATTTATTTACTGCAATTATGGTCATTTTATGAATGTTACAAAGATTAATTTTCTATTTACACAAGCCTGTTGGTTCTGCAGTTCATAAGACTGTTCCTAAATTTTCTGCGAGAAATACTAACATGTTTGCCTTGTTTGGGTTCAGCTGTACTTGCTTTGCCGTTACTATATACCCTGCTTTACTCTTCATTCTGGGAATCATCACTTCTCTTAAAATAATTCCAAACAGGACTTCGTTGAATTGACATATCTTCGCAACAAACTGCGAGCTACAATGAGCTGTGATACATTAAGATTATTATTCTTATAAGTGCACATTCCCTCTTTGTAAGCCATCACACAGCTATTATTTTCAAGCGTTCAACTGCTGCTTTTGTTGTGGGTAGTAAACACTTGCCCACACAGCCCCCACACGTGTTTTCTAGACGTTGCCGGGAAATAATTTTGATAAAAGTTTCGATATTTTCGGTCTTCAAAAAATCGATATTTATCGACTACATTACTATACCGTGTATACTATACTATATATGCTGTTGGGGCGACCAGTGGAATACATGATAGTTTTGGAGTTGAAGCTGGTCTAAAATTCTTTTTAAAATACTAGAATATGTACAATAAAAAGTCTAGAAAAGTTCTAAATTTTCGATTGCTAACTGCAACCTTCATCAGAGTACTAAGAGCAGTTCGGATAGTTCAAGGTTTTTAAATATCGTCATTATTGCCACATGATTGCACAAGCGATAAATACATGCGTGGGAATTCTTTGTGTTCGTTAATTGTTTTATTGTCTAATATTGAATGCATCGACTCTATATATATACTTTTGTCAGCTTCCAGTAAGCAAACCTTCTCTTCAAGGCACAGATTGCATCTTGCTGCACCAGCCGTATACGCACGGGCACGCTTTAGTATGCTCCACTTGATGTTGTATTGCTTCCCGCTTTTCTTGAGTTTCCACGCATACTTTGATAACTCTGTTTCTGCTGAATACCGAGGAACAGTTAGTGATTTTTTATGGTTGGCATGCCTCTTCTTGAACGTCCCTGCCGTCATTTCAATATATTCCTTCGTTTCTTCGCCGTCACATGTCGAGATTTCTGCTTTGTATACAACACTTGTTGATAAACATTTATTGTCAAGCGGACATTTGTTTTTATCATGACAGTTACACATTTCTTTACTTTCTGGCTGGTTGCTTTTTCCAAGCAGGTGTTGATTGCGGTTGGAGATAACGCTCTTGATGTTGCTCATGCACGAGTAGCTCACTTTTACGCTGTTTCTATTGAAGATCTTGTGGAGGCGAGATGTTTTGGGGAAATGCTTGTCAATTAGTTGAATTATCTCCAACCGCAATCAACACCTGCTTGGAAAAAGCAACCAGCCAGAAAGTAAAGAAATGTGTAACTGTCATGATAAAGACAAATGTCCGCTTGACAATAAATGTTTATCAACCAGTGTTGTATACAAAGCAGAAATCTCGACAAGTGACGGCGAAGAAACGAAGGAGTACATTGGAATGACGGCGGGGACGTTCAAGAAGAGGCATGCCAACCATAAAAAATCACTAACTGTTCCTCGGTATTCAGCGGAAACAGAATTATCAAAGTATGCGTGGAAACTCAAGAAAAGCGGGAAACAATACAACATCAAGTGGAGCATACTAAAGCGTGCCCGTGCGTATACGGCCGGTGCAGCAAGATGCAATCTGTGCCTTGAAGAGAAGGTTTGCTTACTGGAAGCTGACAAAAGCAGGATATTGAATAAACGCTCAGAAATAT